GCTGGGACCTGGAACACCAGAGGTTTCTAAGTCCTCTGAGAGCTACAGATAATCTCAATAATAATAATAATAACAGATACTTATAAATCATGAGCTCATCTTGCAGAGAAAGCCAGCTGAGGGATTTGAACTAAATCTTGCTTTTCTCTAGTATTTGAGCATAATTCCATATTCAGAGCAGTTGTGTTGCACCCATTCAAGACCTTTCACTGCATTCATTTGGAGCTCCAAATGTCACATCTGTACATGAACCTGAATTTCTTTAAAGGCCGGGGCTGAGGACTCATTTCCCTGATGTCAGGGAGCAGAACCACTTCTCCTTTTGCTGTGACGTGTTCATTGGGAGTGGAGAGGACACCCAGCAAGCTCCGGATGTAGGAACTCGTGAAGGTTCTGCCCAGGAAGCAGCTCAGCTCTCAATGAAGCAATCACAGGTTGTTTGAATTGCAAAGGGCATCAGTGCCTGTCCAGCTTCTCCGGAGCTGATGCTGGCCTGGAAACACAACGCTTCCCATTGATTTCTCGGGGAGATTGGCTGTGCCACCTCCACCAGCATAGAGGGGACACTGGGCCCAGTACCCACTGGGAGCCCCGTGCAGGGCCCAGCGCTGTGGGGATCGAGCAGCAGCTTTGCCTCACAAATCCTGCTGGAAGAGGCACTTGGCTTTCCACCCCAGAGGCTGGTTAGTACACAAAACCAAACACAGAGAAAAAAAATGAAAAGTGTATTCAAAATTATGTTCTCATACCTTGGACTTCACTCAGCCAAAATCCTTCCTTTTTAATTCAACCTCTTTGGTGGAGCCGTTTATGGTTTGTTTGTTTTTTTTTTTTTTTCAGTCCTGTGGTGACTTCTTTGTTTTCTAATGAAACAATCTCTAAAGAATTCACACACCTGCATTGTTGTGAGATGAGTTCTTGCAGATAATTTAAAGCACCGCTTTGAGATTCCAGGATAATACACCCTTATTATCTGGCAATGACCCTGGGGACTAGGAAAATGCAAGTTTGTTCATCCACAGTTTACGATCTTAACCAAGTTTTTCTGTTTGGTTTTCCAAGGGTTTTGCCGAATGATTGAAATCTCCAGTATGGAAATAGCTTCCCCTGGAATTTCACTCTTTGTTTTCCATCTCTTCCGGCAAAATGCCTGCAGCCCTACAGTTACCAACCTCACCTTGGGCCATTCCTCTCCTCATCATTTAATTCAGGGCTCATCAGGAGCCTTTGATGTGCTAATGCTCAACACAATGTGGGCAATAAACATTCAGAGGTGCCTGCAAGTTATCCAAACCCATCCATTCCTTTCAGCTGCCTTGGGCAGACCGAGCAGTTCAGCGTGTCGCTGGCAGCACCATTTCAAAGGCGGTTTTTGTACCTGCTCTGCGGTTTAGGGGTTGCGTTGTGCCTTGGGAATCCTTTCTTGGAGTCAGGCTCAGGACAGGCTCTGTCTTGTCCAGGAAAACAGCTCAGAAGTACCAGTGGAGGCTTGAGTGGGGATGGGATGGGGTTTGGGTGGCAGTGCCAGCGCTGCCAGGCTGGTGGCAGTGCCAGGCTGGTGGCGGTGCCGCTGTCTCTCCTGATTCCCCATTCCCCCTTGTCGCGGGCAGTTTTGGGGTGGCGCTGCCCTCCACGGGAAGGGGTGGGTGGCAGCTCCTCTGCTTGCAAGGCCACCAGTGCTGGGCTGATGCCCTGCACGCCCCAGAGCCAGCTCTGCCCGCTAGTGCAGCACTCCCAGGTCGGTGCAGGGCTGCCAAAGCCAATGTGATGATGTGTCTGAAGCAGCAAGACAGATGGACTTCTTATATATCCACCTTTATTTTTGATAGCCAGACAATATCTGCGTCCCTTTGCAGCAGAGATTCTCCCACTTCAGTGCTTGTTCTTCAACTCTGTGGGCTTAGAGAGGAAAATTTGTTGTTGAGGCTGCTGAGGAGTGTCTGAGCTGGCAGATCTGGCTGCAGGACCAGCAAGAACATCTCAGCTCTCCCTGGCTCGGGAGTTTCTTGGTGCTCGGAGCCTCGTCCCGCGGGCTGGCCGGGCCCTGGCCGGGTGTGTGTGCAGGGATGTGTTACTGGGGCTCCTCTCCAGCTCTTTGTGCCTGGGCCAAGAGCGCTGGAGGTGTGAAGGCGCAGCTCGCTCGGGAAGTCCTCGGAGCCTGCTCAGGAGAGATCACAGGGGCTGCAGGAAGAGCTCGGCCTCCGAAGCGGCAGCTCCGCTCCCCCGGGACGGCAGCGACAGAAGGAACAGCACGTACGAGGCTGGAGGGCTCCTGCCGAGGCCGGGGGACAGCGGCTGTGGCCGCCCCAGGGCGCCGCTCCCTTCTCCCAGCGCAGCTCCGAGCACAACGTGGGATCCCTTTCAATCGGCTTCCCACGAACAAAGGAGCCCGGGCAGTTCTTGCACTTGAAAGCAGCAGATCGGGGCTGCTGCTGTTCCCTACGTGAGTGTTGGGAGGCGAATCCCTGGAGGGAAATGGAATCCAGGAAAATAATAGTAGTGGTGATTCATCTGCGTCTGGCATCTGAGCATCCAGCAGGGCTCCGGGGCTGCCATGGTGCTGCTGCACTCCAGTTCTTGAATGGATTCATCACCCATCCGGCTGCCGGCTCTGGGCTGTGTTTGTGTTTGCCTCGATGGTTCTGTGATTTCCTTGCTCCTTTACAGATTCCAGAAGATAAATTTGCAGCCTCTCACCTGTGGATCCCCCGGGAGCTGCGGGGTTTCGCAGGGCTCAGCTCGTTCTCCACAGGGCAGCAGAGTTCAGTTGGTGTTTCATGGAGGGTTTGTGATGCCAGGTATTTAAAGAGGGCTCACCTGGAGGGCAGGATCTCGGAATGGGCTCATCCTGGTTTTCCTGCCGGCAGGATTTAACCAGGTTTGGTAGAACAGAGCTGAGCACACTTGTCCTTGGCTCCCCTTGCAGGACTTGTATTGGGAGTCAGCTCAGTTGCACCAGTTACTGCCAGAATAAACCACTGGACCTTGGCACAGGTTCTATTGCTTTGGAGAGCCATGAATCTCCCTGTAATGCAAAATCCACAATTTTCACTGCCTTGCTACCTGTCTCACAGAGACCTTGCCCAAACAACCTATTCATCAGAACCTGAAATAATGGTTTCTCTGTTCATGTCTGACTTGACAAACCACAATTTCCCTGGGCTCAGGCTGTAATAAGTGCTTCCATGATCACAAAAGCAGATCTTTCTCTAATAAAATGTGTCCACTGCAGAAAGTTAATTCTGGTTTTGCTGAGGTGCTGTTAAGCAGCAGAAGGTGGCTGTTGGCACATGTTCCTGCATTAGGAAAACAATGTGTGTAAAAACCCTGATGTAAATCCATCCCTCTGGGGGGAAAAGTGCTTCTCTGTGATAGTTCACATGGTTATAACAGGCTCTGAACGAGGGAAGCTGCACTCATCCCAAAATAATAAATAAACCAAACCAGTGTGGGCAAGTTCAGGATCCAGCCAGCTCTGAAGGAGCAGCCAGACCTGGGGCTGTGAACCTTGAGCTCACCTCAAACTCTGCTGCTCCTTTCAGGGCACTTCAGGCAAAAACTGAGGTTTGAATCCCGGGGTTTAAGGGCTTCCCTGTTAATGCCATCGTGGGATTGGTTCTTCCCTGTGACAGCAGAGTGCCTGGAATGCAAAGTGCAAAGGTCCTGGTGGGAGTGCAAAGGGCAGTGATGCTCCTGTGTGCAGATCCCTCTGTGTGTCCCCATCAAATGAAATGAATCTCTGGCACGGCTTTCTTTCAGCATCCTGAATGTCCAACTTGATAAAAATTACTTTGTTCAATATAAATTGAGAGTCCCCCTTTGTATCTGTCTGACCCCAAGCGTTGCTGGTCAACAGGAATGTTTCCATTTGCACTACACCCAAAGGAATAGTTTCAATCCTATTTTTCCCATATGTTTTTTGCTCTGATTTAACTCTGGATCCTCAGAAAACATTCCCTTCCACAGGATTTAGTTTACAACTTTTTTTTTAAAAAGGAAATCAATGGCATTATCTTTTACTTTCTGTTTGCTACAAGAAGGTTTATTTTCTTTAATTGTTTGGATTTTTTTCCTGCTTTCTACCCTGAGCTATTCAGTGCTGCTGGATGCCTCAGCAGTGGTGTGAAGTTCAATCTCTGTTCTATGTTTTGATGGTGAACACAATATAAAGCATGGAACCTGCAATGAAAAGGTAACCAGTTATTAAATGGTCTTCACCTCCCCTGCTGGTTTAAGATCCACCAGAGCAGACAACCCCTTCAGGTATAACTTTTTTTTAAGCTTCTTAGACTGAAACTCAACCACTTCAGCCCTGTGAGTAACAGCATTTGCTAATCCGTGGTATTTTGCCATTTCTTACATCAGGAAATGCCCCGCTGTGCCACAACCATACAGAGACCGAGCGCTGCCAGGATTTTGTGAAATCTCCTACTTTGGGTCAGCGCTCTGCTGGTGGCGAATTTTATTTTCGGTGCTGCAACTCCGCTCTCCCGGAGCAGCAGCAGCGTCCGGAATCCTCGACTTTGGGGACAGCGAGGGCAGCTTTTTATTCCGAATTGTGCAAAGCGGTGCCCAAAACCTCGGGGGAGCCTCACGCCGGGGCCGGGGGTGCGGGAGCGGGGCCGGGGGGTCAGGAGCGGGGCCGGGGAAGCCGTGCTGGAGCCGGGGGGTTCAGGAGCGGGGCCGGGGGTTCGGGAGCGGGGCCGGGGGTGCGGGAGCGGGGCCGGGCGCTGCGGGGGCGCGGTGCCGGTGCCGCCGGGTCCCGGCCAATGGCTCCGCGCCGCGCACTCCCCGCCCCGCTCGCCCCGAGCAGAAATAGCCCCGCCGCCCCGGCAGCGGCTTTTCCGCGGGGAGCGGGCGGCAGCGGCGGAGCATCCCCGGGCGGAGCAGCCCCGGCCGGGCCGGCCCCGATGGCCCCGCGGGTGGCGGCGGGCGGGCGCTGAGCGGGACCCGCGGATGCCGGGCGGGGGCCGGGCGGTGCGGGCAGCGGGGGGCCGCGACCCGGGGCTCGCCGCGCCCCTCCGGCCCCCCAGGGCCGCGGGGAGCCCGGACATGGGCGTTCGGCTGCCCCGGGGCGTGTTGGTACCTGCGGGAGGGCGCCCGGCGGAAAGTCCCTGCTTCCCATGAGCAGCGCCTGCTCCCGGCGCTGGGCGCTCGCCATGGACACTATGAAAACCACCTACATCGTGCTGGAGCTCATCATCGCCGTGCTCTCCATCGCTGGCAACGTGCTGGTCTGCTGGGCCGTGGCCATCAACAGCACCTTGAAGAACGCCACCAACTATTTCCTGGTGTCGCTGGCCGTGGCCGATATCGCCGTGGGGTTGTTGGCCATCCCCTTCGCCATCACCATCAGCATCGGCTTCCAGGTGGATTTTCACAGCTGCCTCTTCTTCGCCTGCTTCGTGCTGGTGCTGACCCAAAGCTCCATTTTCAGCCTGCTGGCGGTGGCCATCGACAGGTACCTGGCTATCAAGATCCCACTGAGGTAAGAGTTGGAGTGGGAGCGGGCAGCCGCATTCCCTCACAGCCCGGGTCTCATCCTCCTTCTCTTAGCGCTTCCAATCTCTAGCGCTGCCCCGAAAGTTTTAGTGCTGACAGGTGGTGGAAATAGCAGAGGTTTGTCACTCGCTCGCTGCAGGAATGGGATCAGTGTCCTCCTTTTGCTCCGGAACACACCTGGAAGTTCAGTTTCTTGAGGATGTTTGCCTTGGGAGGGTCAGAGGTTTCCGGGCGGGCCCGCAGTGGTGTAGGGCTGCGTTTGGGATGGTTGTGGCAGGGCTGTGCCGGTATTTATACAGCCCCTTTATTGCGGTGTCCAGGCATCTCCCAGGTGATTAAATAGATTAAATAGAGGAGCAGCTACTCTTTTTCCTATTTCCTACTGTGAAAGGAGAAGAGGGGAGCAGAAAGGTTCACACAGCAGATTTAGAGTTTTACAGTTCAGTCTCATCCAAGTGCAGCATCCAAGACATGAATTGTTTTCCTTCTAATTCGTAGGAATTGAATTAAAATGGGGAAAACTGTATGGAATAGAAGTTACAGGCACCTCTCCAGTGGGTTGGTGCAGCAGCTTCTTTAAGCTGAAGCGCACCAAACCCCGGGCTTTGCATTGTGAACCACCTGAGTTTGTTCATCCCAGTCTCCTCCGTGTCTCAGTTGTCCATCCCTGGGAATAGGACATTGATGGAGCCCCCCGGGAGGGCAGGACAGCTCCAGGGGCTGGCGGGGGGCGGAGGCGGTGGGGAAGGGGGGCGGCTGTGGAGCAGGGACCTCAGCTGAACCCCGCAAAGCCGCAGCTTCCCTGGATTCCGCTCGTCCCCGGCATCTCCCGTGCCCGGGCAATGAAATCACCCTGAAACGGCTTCAAAAAACAGAAAACCCTTTCACCCTGTCTGGCACCTTGCATCTGAGAGCTCGCAGAGGTTGAGTAAATATGAATCAGTCACCGGGCCGAGGAGGAGAAGCGTGGCTGTGTGTCTGCTTGTCTGTTTGTCCGTTTGTCTGTGTGTCTGTGTGTCCGTGTGTCCGTGTGTCCGTTTGTCTGTGTGTCATGCGAGCGCGGCGCGTGGAAATTCCGGGGGATGTCGCGCAAGCGGGAGCGGACCTGCAGCACAGCAGGGACAGGGACAGCAGGGACAGGGACAGGGACAGCAGGGACAGGGACAGGTTGTTTCCAGCATCCCTGCCCCTGTTTCTGACCCTCCCAGCCACCCAGCCGGGCTCACAGAGCCACCCCGGCTCCAGAAAATGCTGTCGTGTCTTTTCCACCCACTCGCTCGGGGCTTCCCCGGCTGCTGGGGCAGCGGCAGCTGCAGAAGCAGGTCAGATTTTTGAGTTTTAGTTTAATCACACCCCTGAAGCAGGTCAGATTTTTGAGTTTCAGTTTAGTCACACCCCTGGCCACAAGCTGTGGCAATAACTCTGGTTTTGTTCCACAAGCACTTTCTGCAGCTGAGGAAACTGTGGTGAGGGTCTGTGCTCTGCTGGGAGCCGGGGGGAAGCAGAGGATCAGAAATGCCCTGAGGGATCGTTCCTGTGCCCGCAGGGGGAAGTGGCTTTGCCAGCTGATGGAACTGCCGATATTTCCTGCACTCCTTTCCCCCCAGTCCTGCTCTCGAGCAGGTTTGCTCGACTCTCCATCGGGGCAGTTCATCCCAGGGCAGTTTTGCCTTGCTTTGGGATTCTTTCCCAGCTTTGCTTTCCTCACCCCATCTCCTGCCAAATCTTTTATTCCATTTGCACAAACATCTTTATTCCTATGAGTCCTTTCAAGCTGGACACAAGTGGAGACCAAGGAGTCCCATCCTAGGCTGGCTAAAGTGTGAAATTTGGATTTAACTCCATCTTGGCATTGAGGCCTATTTCAGTGCTCTCAGGAGGGACCAGCAAGCAAAAATCTCCTTCCAGAGGAGGGGGGTTCTCCCTGTGAGGAGCAGGACAATGGACAGGCCACTCCTCGGTGACAGGAGATTTAGGGACTGATACTGAAAGGCTTTTCTTAGTTGTGCACCAAGATCAAAAGGGGATAGAGGAGGTTATACAGGTTTTTACACAGGTAAAACCCTTCTGGACTGCACCAGGGCTTTCCCAGCAAGGCTTGGTTGGAGTTTTCTCTTCAGCATCATTATTCCACAGTGCTGCTGGCAGGGACTGGGGAGGAACCTCTCCCACCACCCTCTCTGGGCAGGAGCACATGCAATTTCTGGAGGCAGGGCTGTGCTGTGGGAATGGGAGGCTGATCATCAATTTCTAGGAATGGAGACTGCAGGAAAAGCTTTTCTCATTTAAACACCAGTTCTGGAGGCCAGTGCAGAGGCTGATACCAGGCCATGAAGTATTAAATGTTTAGGAAAATGATTTGTGCCCAGCCCTGCCCAGCGATTACCATAAATAATGTGGTTGTTGCAGAGCAGATGAGTGTCCTTGTCACATCCAGTGTTCCATCAGCTCCCTGTGGACAGCTCAGCAGGGACATTAAGGACTGGCTGTGCCACATTATTTAATGCCCTTTCAGAGCTCTTTGAGAGGCTGGGCAGGCCTGTGGGCTGGGGTGCACAGCAGAACTTTGCATTACAGCCAGGCTAATAATGGATTTTCAGCTCTGTGGCTGAACCAAGAAATCCCATGGGGAAGAGGAAGATTGTTTCAGTGAAACTGGAACAGGGATGTTGGGAGGTTTCAGTGAAGCAAAGTGATCCTGACCAACCTGGCAGATTTGGGGTTGCCCAACCCTTCCTATGTGGCTGTGCTGCTCTTTGAGGTCAAGGCCTCCTCACTGGGGAAGGAACTGACAACTTCTCATCTGGAGAACTGCAGAACAAAAAAAATCTTATTTTAAAAATGGTGGTTTAGAGCCCTCCCTCTTCTGGCTAAAAATATTTGCTGAATTTGACCCGAAGCCATGAATTCTTTGTGTCCCTCGAAACTCCTATTTCGCTTGTTTGCTTTTGATGAATTTTCTGTTTATGGAGAAGCCCCCACCCACGCTGCCCACTCTGTGCAGCTGCAGCTCCCAGCCCTGCCCAGGCTCCCTTCTCCCTTGGCCATCACCAGGATGCAGCTCCTTGTCCTTGTCCCCTTTTCCTGCACCCAGCTCCATCCCAGCACTTCCTCCAAGCAGAATATCCCAGCCAGGGAATCGAGCATCTCTCAGCAGCAGCAAATCCATCCTGCACAGAGCACTTGGCACAGAGGCTTTTGCTCTCTGGCTTCCTCCAGGGCTGGATTTCACCCCACAGTCCCGTAGCTGGGAGCCAAAGAAGATTTGTAGGTGGAATAAAACAGTTTCCTTTTATTTGCATTAACCCAAATCCTTTGGCATGGAGAAGAATTATAGGTAGGGATGGATGCCTGGAACAAATGTGTCAGGAATTAGGGAGGGAGAAGAGAATCTGTATTTAGAGAGCAAAAAGAGAAACACTGAGTACCAGCCCAGTGTGTGCCCCTGTGCTCTGGTACCTCCTGCAGGACAGTGAATGTGGTGCTGCTGCCTGGCAAACACCCCAGGGACCTGCCCTGGGAAAATCGTCCCCAGTTCCTTGGGATTTGAGCTGATCTGCTGCTTGTCCTGGGTTTAGTTCTCTCCCATCTTCAGCTTCACCCCTTGCAGATGTGCAGGACTGATGTTCCAGGGAAGCTTTGCTATGAACTGGAATCCCAGCCACATCCTCTCCCTTTCTGCACATCTTTGAGCCCTTGCTGCCCCTCCTGCAGAGGATGCTCCCATGGATTCCCAGTAAGTTAATGGGATTCAGGATCTGTTAATGGTGCTGTCCTGACCTGCCTCTGCTCCTGCCAATGTCCCACAGGAGCTGCTGCCCCCCTTGGCTCTGACATGAGGAAGGCAGGAGTGCAGCTCCTTCCTGCTGGCCTTGTGGGACAGATTAAATTTGGGTTGTTGCTGTTTTTCCCTCATCCTTTGCAGAGGTGGCCTGGCTGATGCTGAGGCTCTGTGCTGCAGAGGAGGGGCTCCCTCTGAGGTGTTCCCCTGCAGGGATCTGTTCCCAGATCCCTGTCAGATCCCAGCTTTGCTCAGCAAAGCAAACTGCTGGGGTTTGATGTCAGGTGGGACTGGAGCCACTGGGGAGCAGAGAAAATCCCCTTGGTGCTCACCCTGTGAGTGCCATCAGCACACAGAGCTGCTCTTCCTCCCTGTGCCTTTGCCTCATTTCTTTCTGTCCTTGCACTGCCCTTCATCTGAACCCCTGGGCAAGTTCTGCTGCTCCCCTGTGGCTCCCGTGCTGTGGCCACTCCTGAGCATCCCAATTCTGAGCATTCCCAATTCCTCCCCATCCCCAGAGTGCTGTACCTGGCCTTGGTTATCACTGAGTTAAACCTGCAGTGCCACAAACCCAGCAGGGACAGGAGGGCTGGGGTGTTGGGGTGTTCACTTGAGCAGTGGAGCTGTCCCAGCTTTAGGGAACTTTGTGGCAGCCAAGCTGGGTCCAAGGGATGTGAGAGGCTCCCCCAGGGCTGCCACTCGCTCCAGCCTTTGGGTGCAGCCAAAATACAACAACAAAATCAGGAATAATCACATGTGTCCTCATGGCAATAAAGTAGAGAGGGGAAATCAAAGCTATTTTTAGCTGTGAGCAGCCTGGTTTCCTTAAAATGCATGTCCCAGATTTTTATATCTTTTCCGCACCTCCGAGGCCACTTCCCAAAAAAACAAAAGTCCTGACAGGAAAAGGAATTGGGGCCTCCTTGGGACCTCTGCCCCCTCTGCAGCAGCTGGGGGACAGCAGGGATGCCAGGGAGCATCAGGGATGTCAGGGCTGGCTCCAGGCTGTTGGCTGAGGGCACTTATCTCCAGGCTGAGTCAGAACCCAGATTTTGGATTTAGAAAGTTTTTATTCTGTTCTGGTCAGCTCAATCTGTAAAAAAAATACAGGTTAATTTTAAGATTTTTTTTTAAAAAAGGAACTTTTGAAATCCAGCAGAATTTTGCTCCAGAAGATCTTTTGACCTCACCCTGCAAAAAATACA